CAGAAAATATGCCCTCAAATCAACTTTTAAGACAAATTTAGCTGGGGGTGGGGTGGGATGGGGTGGTTTAGGGACACTCAGACCCAAAAATTCTGCTTAGTTGAAAACTCTTTACTTGGAGAATAGTACCTACAACAAAGAAGTAGGTGCTGCCATCTAGTTGCTTCCTATTTTAACTAATTAGTCTTACTATGTAGGAGCTAAGCTCAGTTGTTTCTCTGCTGCTGAAGGGATGTTAGTGCTATCATCACCTTCTAAATTTTGCCAACAAAAAAGCCCTGATAATCCCAACCTCCTTATGAATATGATCAAAACCTTGTTTTCTTTAATCATATTTTTTTCAAGTTAAGAAATAAGGATACATAGTATGACAAAAGAATATTTTTCCTGTCATACAGTTTGTGGGACAGAATATTTGAAATCTGTGGTTTTAGCACTCATGACCTTCTGTGCCCATAGGTATATTGGAACTGTTTCTTAAATGGATGGTGACAAAGTGATATCTAGGTGACAATGAACAGCATAACAACTAGTGGATCGACTGAACCCCTGGATCTATTACTTTGATAATGGGGTGGCAGACTAGATAAACAGGATAGTACTGGTTTGATCAAATGGAAACTCCCATTTCAGACCTAGACAAGTCTAGCAAAAGATAAATAAGAGAAGATAAGAAGATGAATAGAGTTTTAGAAAAGTAAGTTTTGATAAATCTCTGGTGATTACTGAATGGAAATAGAAAAGGATATGTATATATGTATATTTATTATTGTCCAAAAATTACTCTTATTCTAGGATAGGAGTTCTTAATCTATTTGGTGTCATGGATCTCTCTGGAAGTCCGATTAAGCCTATGGTCCCATTCTCAGAATAATTTCAATTTACAAAATAAATATAGAATAACAAAGGAAACCAATTATATTGAAATATAATTATCAAAATATAGTTTTCCAATTCACAGACTCCATGTTAAAAATTGGCTGTTCTAAGTCATGTAAACTTCATGAACAAATACAGAAAAACAAAAATAGTAAACAAATCCTTTACTGTTCATAATGAAATAAACATTATAATCAATAAAGGATCTCTGAAGAAAGGATTAAAACTTGGATGAAGATTAAATAATTTAATCTTAAAGATCGATGGGTCAAAGAACAGCTCATAGAAATAATAGAAAATTTATTACAATGATACAACATATCAAAACTTTTGGGATACAGCCAAAGCAGTCCTTAAGGGAAAATTAATATCCCTAAACACTTTCAGTAACAAAAGAGAGAAAGAACAAATCAATAAATTAGGTATACAACTAAGGAAAACAGCAAATTAAAAAATCTCAACTAAGCACAAAACATAAAAATTCTGAAGATCAAAAAGAAGATGAATAAAATTTAAAACAAGAAATTATTAAAATGATAAATAAAAGTAGGAGCTCTTTTAAAAAAACAAATAAAATATATAAACCATTAGCTAATCTGATAAAATAGAGGAAAATCAAATTGTTAATATCAAAAAATGAAAAAGAATTAATCACAAATGAAAAATAACTAAAGGAAAATATTAGAAACTATTTTATCCAGTTCAATGCCAAGAAAATAATAACACATGAAATGGATACATATTTATAAAAAATATAAAATACTCAGATTATCAGAACAAGAAATAGAGAATTTAAACAATCCAATATCAGAAAAAGAAATTGAATCAACTATAAATGAACTACCAAGGGAGGGGAAAAACACCAAGACCAGATGGATTTATAAGTAAATTCTATCAAGCAGCCAAGAAACAATTAACTCCAATTTTACATAAACTGCTTACAAAAATAAAGACGGTATACCATCAAACTCCTTCTATGAGACAAATATGGTCTTGATACCTACCTAAATCAGAGAGGGAGAAGTCAGAGAATGAAAACTATAGATCAGTATCTAGAAAAAATATTGATGCAAAATTATTGAATAAAGTATAAATATTCACAAACAGGCTAAAGCAACATGGTTAAAAGATTGTGTACTAAAAGCAATTTAGATTTGTACCAGGAATGCAGAAGTAGTTCAATATTTAGAAAACTATAAATATAATAGACCATATTAATAAAAAATAAAAATCACATGATTATACCAATAGATGCAGAAAAGGCTTTTGACAAGATACAACACCTTTTCATTTTAAAATATCACAAACCCAACCTTTCTTTACTATGGTAAACAGTATCCATATAAAACCAAGAAAAAGCATCATCTATAATGGAGAAACAAACACTACGAGGCCATTTGAATACGATCAGGAGTAAGGCAAACATGTTCATTGTCACTAGTATTATTTGATAATAGTTATAGAAAGACAATCTGTAGTCACATAAGCACAAGCAAAGAAGAAAGTTGATCAGTGAAATAGATTAAATACAAAGGTCCAGAAATAATTGAACATAACATAGTGATCGATAAACCCAAGGATACAAACTACTGGGGTAAGGATTCGCTATTCAACAAAAACTGCTGTGAAAACTGAAAAAGCATTCTGGGAGAAATTAGATTTAGATCAACATTTTAAACTATATACAATAATAAATGTAATAAAAATATGTCACAACAATGGATAGGGGAAGAGTTCTTGACCAAAAAAGGGAGAGAGAAGCTCATAAAAGATAAAATGAATAATTCTGTTTACATAAAATTGAAAAGATTTTGCCCAAACAAAAGCAAAGTAGGAAGGAAATAGTTAAGTAGGAAAAGATTTTTAAAGCAAATTTATCTGATAAAGGTCTAATATCCAAGAAATGCAGGAAATGATACAAATAATGTAATAACAAAAGTCACTCCCCAAGAATTACATAGTCAAGGGATATGAATAGGCACTTCTCAAGGGAAGAAATTCAAGCTGTCCATGATCATGTGGAAGAAAAAAAAATGTTCCAATCACTAATAATAAGAGAATATGCAGAATAAGAGAAATGCAAATTAAAACAACTTTGAGGTTCTACCCATAAAACTGACAAAGATGACAAATAAAGTGATGATTTTTGGAGGGGCTGGTGAAGGACAAATATACCTAATGCACTATTGGTGCTACCATGAAGTGGTCCAAATACTTTGGAAAGCAACTTGGAACTCTATTCAAAAAAATCACTGAACTGGGCAGATTCTTCAATCCAGTGACACTCTTTTAGGCATGTACCCCAAAGTGATCAAAGACAGAGGGAAAGGACCTATATGTCTGCAAAAAATATTTATTATCAGTGCTTTTTGTTGTAGCAAAGAACTGGAAACAAAATGGAAACCCATTCATTGGGGAAAAATCAAACAAATTATGATACATAAATCTAATGGAATATTATTGAACCATAAGAAATGACGTAAGGGAATGGTTCAAAGAAACTGACGAAGACTTGTCTGAACTGATGTAGAGTGAAGTCAGAAGAACCAAGAGAACAACTTATATTCATTGACTCCAGGACTGTAAAAGAAAACAACTGTGAAAGACTTAAGAACTCTGGTCACTGTAATGACCAATCCTGATTCCAGAAGACTGCTAAATCATGTTTCCCACCTCTTGCTGGACAGATGATGTACTATACGTGCAAAGTGAGATATTTCCAGACACAACCACTACAACATAAATTTGTCTTGCTTTTCTGTTACAAGGTTTTATCTGGGAGGAGGGAAGTTAGGAGAAAGGAAGTGGTGAATAACGATAATCATGCCAAAAAAGAGATAAGAAGAAAGAAAAGAGTGTCAATGAAACATTTAAAAATACTCAGAGGTGATTAGAGGGGAATTCAGAGGGAGACACAAAAGAGCAGGGCAATGTTGGTACTACCACATCAAATTTAATGTGTATTAAAAGGAACAGGCTGCATGTCTCATGTATAATTTCCATTATCCAGCCTTCTTTGTATATGATAATGTTCATATTTACTGGTGGTTTCTATCTTACAATTTTAAAAATGATTAAAAAATAATGATTAAGAAAAAATAAAATTTAATTGAAAAATTAAAGAATGGTTTTTAAAAAGAGGGAACTCCCAGGTCCTTTCTCAGTGTGTCTGGGAAGAACCACAGACTTCTCAGTCAGGGACAGTACAGCTAGAGTGACTCACATCAGAGGAAGGCAACAGCGTCAAAGCAATCTCCCTTGATTTCAAGAGAGATTGTGAAATGTGGTGACACATAGAACAGCAAAAAGCAAGACTACCAGAAGTGGGTTCCAGCCTGGGACCTGTTGGGGCAATGGAGGGGGGTGGTAGGGAGGTGGGCCACTGGTTCATGAGGAGTTGCAAGGATTCTTATTACTTGGTAACTTGAACAATGAAATAAGTGCTTGCAAGTATGGTCATCAGTGTCCCTGGGAGATATATTTCCCAGGTTTCTTTGTGAGGGTTTGAGCCCAGAAAGAACAGTAAACCCACAGAAGGTAACTCAAGCCCTTTGTGTCTCAGATGTCTATGGCGCAAAGATTATGACAAAAATCTAAGGATCACACATCTAGTCTAGTCCTTGAAAGGACCTTAGAGGTTACCTAACCCAACTCCCTCATTTTATTCCTGAGGAAACTGAGACACAGAGAAATTCAATGACTTGCCCCAAATTATAGATTATTAGAGCCAGAAGGGACATTAGGAGTCACTTAATCTAACTCCCTCAATTTACACATGAAAAATGTGAAGGTCAGAGAGAGGTGACTTGTAAAAGGTCACCTGGCTAGGACTAGATGCAAGGTCTTGTGACATCCAATACAGAGCCCTTTCTACTAAACCACACTGCTTGTGTGCATATCTGGCCTCTCCAACTAGATTATATGTTCACTATATCCCTGATATTGCCTACCACAGTGTACTTAAATACTGAATGAATGAATGAAAATCTGTAGAGAGGTTCATTCACTTATCCTCAACACTACATTCCCTTTCAGGATAAAGTAATACCTTTTAGGGATATGGGGTAAGGACGGTGCTGGGTAGAAAGGGGGACACAAATAGGTCAGAGACTTGGTAGTACCTTTTCTCCAGGTGTGACGGAGATGCGCCAAACACAGTGCATATGTGCAGAATAGCCATTGGGGTATTCAGGAGAGGAGAAGTTTCCAGTGCTGTCCTGAAGAGTCTCTCCACAGGCTGTTGGACAAACAATAAATGCCAGTACCACTCATTTGCTACAGTGACCCTGCCCTCCCAACTTGCATCCCACCCTTCCTCAAACCAAGCATTATCCCTGGCATCCCTTTAAGGGTAGGCTAAAGGATGGGAACAGGAAGCAAGGAGGAATCTCTAGGGAACAGCTCTGTCCCTTTAAATTCCTCTCCCTATACACACACATACATACATACATCCCCCCACTCACACACATACGCACACACATAGCCCATTTCACCTCTCCCTGCTTCTTGCTGCCGGGACAACCAACTGTACCATGGGCGTTTTCATGGCAACAAGGGGTTCCAGTATTTGAGGTCAAACTCTGGTCTAAATATCTTCCCCCTGCAGTGAGCCCCAACTACTAGCCCAGCTGGGGGTGGGTTATGGTGGGAGACAGAGAGCAGGGGACAAGGGAGTCATTTAGATCCTATGGATCCTCCTTCAAAAGACTGTCTGATACCTAGGGCATACTCAACACCAGCATTTGGCTGTGGCCTGCCATCCCACAATTACTTCCCATGAGTTCTCCCACTCTCAGATTTCCATCTTTTGATCCCTTCACAAGGTCTTACCCAGAAGAGCTTATCTCTAGATCCAACCTTATCTCTTGCTCCTCTAGGCCACTCCCTTTGAGCCTTCTACTCTTTTCCTTGGGCCAATATACTGCTTTATTTTGCATCACCCCCAACAGTTCTCCTTCTTCCCTACCCCCTGCACACACTTTGAAAAGCACAGTTTTGCCCCCATCATGCCTGATCCTTCCTACCTTGTACAATTTGAAGACTCTTCATTTGGCTCCAACAGATCTCCTTATTCCCCCAAGATTTGCATGGTACCACCCTGCCCTATCATCTTTAACAACTCTGATCACTGCACTCTGATTAATGCAAGAAAAAACCATAATCCCAGAAGACCAAAGATGGAGCATGCTACCCAACAGAGAGGGGATGGACCCAAAATGCAGAATGAGATATACACTTTTGGACACAGCCAATGGGGGAATTTGCTTTGTTTGACTATGCATAATTGTTACAAATATATTATTTTTATTTTTTGATATTATTATTATTCAGTTGGGGGAGAGGGAAAGAAAATAAATATTTGTTCATTTAAATATCATTAAATTACTTAAAGAAACTACTCTATCCTTTGTGCCATGCCTTTGATTCTCAATGACACTACTCAAGCAAACCCCTAGACAGATGTCCCCAACTCCTCTCCAAAGACTAGCTCTGATCCCTAACTATAAGTTTTCCCTCTCACCTGGGCACTTGTAGAGCTTTCGGGCCTGGGCAATGTCCCCCTTACTGAGCCGAGTCCTCTGGCCAATAGGGGGCTTTACCCCATTTACATCGTACTTGGGAACAATGGTGTCCAGAAAGATACCCCTGGGTAGGGAAACCAAAATCAGAATGGTAATGTTGGGAGGAAGAAAGGGAAGTACCTTTAGCAGGGACTCACTCAGGGTTGGGCACATAGTACCACCAGTGAGGGGAGCTCCACAGAGGCTCAGTGTCTACGCCACAGGTCACAACCCTGCCTGGGTTCAGACATTCTGCAGCAGGGTCAGGACAGGGTGGAGACAAAGTACCCTGTCATTACTATGCCATAGACAGCAACCCCACCCCATGGCAGCTGGACCCACCACGAAGCTGGAGAAGCCACAAGGGAACTCAACATTTAGGAAGGGAGGCAAAAATAAGGGATGGGATGAGACTATCTAGGATCCTACTGGTATCTCCCCTACTTTATTCTGTGTTCTTATTAAAAAACACTGGTAGATTTTGAGCCTCCAAACCTTTATCTTATCTCTATCTTCTCCCCACCTCTCTTCACCCCACTTCTCTTCACCCCACTTCTCAAGTTGATTCATGCCTGTTCTGATTCCCCAATTCCTAGCAATTTACCTTGCTGGAACTAGCTGCTCCAGACAGTTTAAGGTTTGCTAGCCAACTCAGTCCTTGGGAATAACTCTAAAGACCCTGGGAGCCTGATGACCCAAGTTATTTCCTTCCCTTCTCAACGGGGAATGCTGAAATCCTGGAGATTTCCATGAGGTGAATGAGAGAGTGGGCAGGATTCTACCTCCCCAGAGTCCCTGACTCACATTCAACCAGATGGAGCAGAGCATGAAGGTAGGGTGGGGTGGGATGGGATATGGGTTTGTGGGGGTGGGGGGTGTAATGACCTCATCACTTTTCTTTGGTCTCTGATGTGGCTTCAAGGGTCTGGGAACAGCCTTGGATTGAGAAAGAGCCAGAAGGCAGGAAGAGGGAGAGAGTGGAACTGAAAGAGAAAGAGAGAGATTGAGATTTGGCTGGGGGTGGGGTGAGGGCAAGGGGTAGAAGGACAAATTCAAGGACAGAGAAGAAGACAAGGAAAGAAAACAGAAAGAGCAGGCTGAGTTAGGAGCTGCAAAAGGCCGGGTCCTACCTCCCATGAGAAAGGAAGTGAGATACTGACTTGAAGGGGTCTGGTGATCCCAAAAGCACCTTCCCAAGCTTTTCTAAAAGGCTGGGCTTGTGGCTCTTTCCAGAACTTAATGTAGTACCAGCAGGCATTCCAAATCTAACAATAATGGCAGATTCTGAGAAAGGGAGGACAGATCTACTGCAGAACCACACATGCTACATAGAGGATACCAAGTGAGGAAGGATGGATGATACACCCGTAGGACCTTTGGTCTTAGCTATGGAGACGCAGCATGGAGTAGTCACTAGAGACCAGGACTTAGAGTCCAGAAGACTCAGATTCAAATCCCACTTCAGAACCTAACTAGTTGTACAATGCTGGGCAAGTTCTTAACATCTCAGAGCCTCAGTTTCTTCATCTGTAAAATGAAGGGGTTAGAGGAGATGGTCACTTAGCTTGATGTGGCTAAGGTCACGTATATAGGATCATAGTACACTACCATCTACCTGTCCCATCAGGGCCTGTGGCAAGTCTGAAGAAACAGCATGCTACTGAGTGATGAGCAAGGTGAGAATGAGAACAGCCACTGGAGGCTTAGGTTCTATTTCTTACCTGGAGAAAGTGTTTCGAGCATAATGCATGATACTGTCAAAGTCGTAAGTCTCCCCCAGAGATTCTACTTCCTCGAGTTCCATCTTCAGGAAGTTATACTCCTGTCCTGTGGAGATGGGGAAAAGGATGCGGGGGGCAGGAGGAGGGGGAAAGGAGAGGGGAACTGCCCAGATTTGGGGCACTGAGACAGTGTCGGAACACCTGTCTTGGGGCTAGCACACCAGGAAGGGAAGGATTCTTGGTAAGGATAAGGCGCTGATGCAGCTGGGGTCTCTAGTAGTGGGCAGTCAGGAGGAGGACAGAGGTTCCTGCTAACAGGCTAGCTCTGCCCAAATGTCTCAGAGGAAGCTCCAAGAGTGGATGGGGAGAGAGCAAGGAAGGAAAGGACAAGGGGGAGTGGACAGGAATGGGGCCTTGGTGGTGAAAAGGAAACATTGAGATGGAGACAACAAGATGGAGAAAAACAGGGAGAGACTAAGACAGAGAGGGAAAGCGAGAAGGGGAGATGGAGATCATAGAGGGCAGGGGAAGAAAAAGGGTGAGGAGATGAGAGACAGCAGAGAAGTGAATGGTTGGGAAAATAGCTCTCCTGGCCCCTGTCCCCCCCTTTTCACCCCAGAGACTAGTTGGATTCTGGGATGATCTAAGGGTCCTGTTTGGTCCAGGATATAGGATAGATTGGCATTCCCAAAGTGGTTCCATAATTGGCCTATTCTACTTGGACTAAGAATGACCAAAGGCTCCTTGATTCCCTACAGCCTAGAGTGGAACCCATGGGACTTCCCAGAGACAGATCTGAATGAGGCTGAAGTTACAGGAGTCCATTGACCACTCTCTCTTTTTTCTAAAAGTCTGGGTAATATAGAGGTGCCAGGCAACAGACTGGAACACTAGGGTCATAGCCACAGGACCAGCGAGGCTACCTGGGGAAAGGTAGATGGGATTACCTGGCTGGATATTCTCCCTCACGATGGCCACATGGTTGTCACGGTCAGGTCGTGTGTGTTCATGCCAAAAGCCGATGACGTGGCCCAGTTCATGGACAACGATGCCAAACTTGTCACAGTTCTTCCCAATGGAGATGGCCTGGGGTCCCCCGCCCCGGCGACCCACATAAGAGCAGCACCTGGGGGGCAGGGCCAGCTCAGGGGGGCAGGGCCCGAGCTGGGGGAGTGCAGCTGACTCAGGGGGAGGAACCTGCCAAACTCCTAGTCCAGGCTGAGGGGAAGGACAGGAGCTGGGGAAGAGGGGCCTTAGGGACCTGAACCCAAGACTAAGAGCCTGGACAAACTCAACTAGGTCTGTCCCAGGGGCCAGTGGCCAGACAGATGGACATTTTAGGGTGAGGAGAGCCACACCCTTGGGCAGCATCTCTGTCAATAGGCAGTGCCCAGCGAGATGTCCATATGAGTAGGGTCATGCCCAGGACAGCGCTTCTGTTAGGGGTGGTGCCCCAAGGAGGTTTATGCCCTAGGGTTTCCCACTCACCCGCAGGGTCGGTAGGTGAATACTATGTAGCTGTCCTCATCTGTGCGCTCCAGAAAGGTGACACACGTGTGCTTCTCCCAGTGTCTCATGGCCTGCCGGAAGACGGCTCGTTGGCTGCCTATATAACAAAAGGGGTTGATCCGGCTAAGCAGGAGTCAGTCATCAGCTACCAGCTTCTCTCCTGATCTGCTAAAACCACTTTGCCCATTTGATCTCCTTCCTTCATTACTATGCAGCATTAGCAGAGGCTGGGAGTGCAGGGAAAGTAAGGAGAATGATAGTGATCAAACTTATTCTCCCCATTCTACAGTTGGGAAACAAGAGCCTCAGAGCAGGGAAGAGGTGGGATTGACCAAGGACAGTCAAGAAGGGAGCCCAGATGTCCTGGTTCCCGGTCTCTATTGTCCACCTCTATTTATTGTGAAGGGAAAGGAATCATATGTAGTCTGAGGAGTACAGTGACCTGGGAGAGAGGAGTCAACAGGGAGAGGGGCTGATAAGTAGAGAGACGGGGATAATCTCCCTCTTTGTGTTTCAGTACTGAAGGTCAGCACTCAGTTCCGGGAACCTCCTGGTGCCAACCTCCTAAATAAGTCAGTTCGCCTGACCTTGCTCACCCACGCCACCCCCACTCTCACTGATCCTCCAGCTCTGACCCCTCCACTCACCAGTGAAGTTCCCTCCAATGACAAAGGGGATGATGCCATCGGCCCACACCCGTTCTGGCCGTGATGTTGCTGCCCTCCTGCTACGGGACCGACCCCGGCTCCGGACCCCCAGCTTCTCCCGGGCCTTCCTCTGAGGCTGTCCCCGGGCAAACTGTTTGGTGAGGATGGAACTATTTCCTGAAAAGACAAGGGAAGAGGAAGGGAGTTCTAGGTGGGAGAAAGCTTATCCACTTTTTCCTGAGATGCGTGAGGGACCTGAAGCCATCTGAAGACATTTGGCTTCTTTTAACAATTTAACATCTGTAAAGGATGTGACCGTTTTACAAACTGCATCTACATATTTGATAATGTAATGGCTGACAATTATGGGCCTTTTGGAATTGCAAAGTTCTGTATACTTGTTGTACATGGCTACTATTTATATGCTGCCCTTTACATAGGGGATCTCCCTTGACCCACATGCTTCCAACCATATCAAGCTGCCTTGCCCAGGTCACAGAATCTCAGAGCTTGAGGACCCCAGAAGTCAGAAGTCCCAGTGAGTCCTGAATAAACAGTCTCCTCTATAAAATCCCTGGTATGGGGCCATCCAGTTTCTACTTAAAGACCTGCCACCTAAAGGCAGCCCATTCTATTTTTGTATAGCTCCAATTGTTAGGAAGGGGCCATTGCCAGTTGTCTTGACCTATGTCTTGCCACTGGGTGCCGATGACTCTGGAGGAGAGAGTGTGAGGCTGATGACTTTTCACAGCTCTACCTCACTTAAATCCAATTCACCTACAAGTCAAGACATCCCCTCCTGGTGTCATTGGTCTGCTTCCAGAATGAAGGATAAACAACAATTGTTAGGAAGTTTTCCCCGACATCCAACCTAAATCTCTCTTTCTACTTCTTCCTCATTGCTCCAGTCCTCATCTGTGAGGCCAAGGGGAACTATTCCAATCTGCCTTCCCTACGACAGCCCTTCAAATACCCAGAGACAGCTCTCAGGACCCCTCTGAGGCTTCCATGGTCAAGGCTAACTATTCCCTTATTCCTTCCATGGATTCTAGATAATAAGCTCTTTGCAGGCCTTAAACACATTTCTATAGATCGATCGCCATATTTGAACCTCACATAAGATCACAGGATCATAGATTTAGAGCTGGGAGGGACCTCAGAAGACATCTAATGCATTTCCCTCATTTTACAGATGAGGAAAGTGAGGCCCGGGGAAGTTAAATTACTTGCTCAAGATAACACAGGTAATAAGTCTCAGAGGTAGAATTCGAATCCAAGTCCTCGATAGCTCTCTGGGGTAGTCCAGCCCCTCTCTTTACTAGACTGACCAAACACTGCCCGGCCTTATCAGGGTTTGTTTAGTGTGGGTTGTAAGTCAGAGTCCTTAGAGCTCTTGTCAATAGACCCGCTATGTAGGAACAAGACTGTTCCTCAGGTGCCATCCCCAGAAAGGGTTGTAGTGCCCACTCTCAGTTTGGAGCAGTGGGGGGGGGGGGGGGCTCGAAAGAACTTGACCTGGGGTTCTCAAGGTCCTATTTCTTTTTTCTAAATTTTTTAAATTTTTAAATTTTTTATTAATTTCTTTTGAATTATCAACAATCACTTCCATAAGCTTTTAAGTTTTAAATTTTTCTCCCCCTTCCTCCCCTAGATGGTGTGCAATCTGATATAGGCTATACATATACATTCTCAAGGTATTATTTCAATAGGAAACCTAAGGTCTGAAGTGGGGAGGAGTAGAGGGGTACTCATTGTCCGCACCTGACTCCACTATCTGACCCTCCTATGAAGGCTAACCTGCTTCCAGCTCCCAGATCCAAAGCATCTGCCTGTGATGTCTCAGTGGAGAAGGAAAGGAGGGCACTTCATTAGCTGTGGACACAGGCATTGATGAGTGCTCGGAGCTGAAGCTGTCCCCCCTGTCCCTTGGGGGATGTACTCCCAGGGGGTGAGCTTTGTCCCAGGTCTTGTCCATACCACCTGCAATCTCCTGCCAGGGCATAAAGAAAGCCTCCAGCAGAAAGCTGAAGGTGAGTAAGGGACTTGAGTGGGTCTAGCAGGTAGCTCAGATTGTTCCAGATCAAGGGCCATATGAGGAGTAAGAGTGGATTCTGGGTCCCTGAACCCAGCATACCCCGGGCAACCCGTAATACTGCTCCACCCTGTGTGTCTTCTCACGGACTAGGCTGACCCAGAAGAAGAGGGATGGGCATCAGGGCTGTGCCCTGGCCTCCATGTGGCCTCTGTCTGTGGAACAGGAAAGGCTTGAGGCTTTGGAGGCCGCTGGGAAGGCAGTCTCCACCCTGCCTTGATGAGCTCACAGTCCCCTAGGAGCACGATGGCCCAGCACTGGTGATACCTGAGGCTTTGCCAGTCGCCCTGTGGATGGCCCGCTGCCTGAGTTCCACAATCTGTTCCACCTGGAAGCTCTTCAAGTCCTCTTCATCCAGAGCGATGTCCCCAAGAAATGCAGCTAGAGAGAGGCATGAGGAAAAGTCAGTCGGCTGTCCTCCCCACATCTGGCAAGGTCTCTGACTGCCTACTCCCTTCTCTCACTGGGGGAAACAGGCAGTAGAGGGCCTGAGGTAGCCCACCAGGTGAGCTCAAAACAAAGCCTTTCTGGCCTCTGTTCAACTGGGGACTGTGCTTCTGGTCCCCACCCTCCTCCTGGTCCCCAACCCTCCCTTTCCCCAAATCTCATCCCCACAGGTTGTTAAATATCCACAGCAGAGAGAAAAAACAGTGAGAGAAGAGAACAAAGTGGGTACTGGGTTCTCCAGGGAGCTTTGAAAGGCTTTTCCCTCAATGAGCAGCCCTGCAAGAGCAAAGTCTAGCTGCCTAGTTTTGAGGGGGAACCTCTCCAAGGACTTGAGTCAACTGAGAGATTAGGAAAACATTCACATAGAACAGCAGGGAGGTAGGAGGAGGAGAGCAAAAGAGACTGAAGCCCGAGTCTATAATAACAATAGCCCTTACTTGGATAGTGCTAAAAGGTTTATACAACTTATTCCTCACAACAACCCTGTGAGGTGGGTACTACAAATATAGTTATGGCTATTTTACAGATGAAGAAACTAAGGCCTTGAGAAAGGTTCAGGTGAATTGCCTGAGCATCTGGCCTGAGTCTAGTTCCTTCTGGGGAGGCAAAGAAGGAAGCAGAGACTGGAAAGAGAAATGTCTCAGGGAAATAGGAGTGAATTGGAAGTGGGGGTGGGGGGGTGTAGTGAGGCTGGATGAGGAGGTGGAGCTAGGAGCTGGAAGCGGTTTCCCAGCAGCTCCGCCCATGGAGACATCTGCTTCCCATCCCACAGTTCAGTTGGGGCTTGGCTGTCTGAATTACACAAATTGTTTTAACCTTGGGTCTTGACACAGATTTCTCTGCCCCAAATGGCTTGCTCTGTGGAAACACACATTCGTTTACCCAAACACATGCAGGTACACGAAGTTCCACCTGTGCTCCCTAACAGTCTTAAAGAAACAAAGAAATTCTTCCCACTATATCATGCTGACAATCTAGATGTGGGGCTACTACTGCACACACACACACACACACACACACACACACACAAACACACTCAAAAGCATAGTTAGGCAGTTGCATTAAGAAGAATGCACTGACACAGGACATAAAGACTGGGTCAATACACATTTATTAAGCACTTATGTGCCAGGTACTGTGCTAACCACCGTAGACACACAGAAAGACATGAGACAATCCCAGATCTCAAGGAACTCATAGCCTAATGGGGGAAATAACACATAAACAACTACATATAAAGAAGATGTACATATATATACATGTATGTATATTATATATGCACACATATATGTGTGTATATATATATACATATATATATATGATAAATTGGGGCTAGTCAACAGATGGAAGGAACTAGAATTAAGGGGGCCTGGGGAAGGTTTCCTGTAGATGGTGCAATTTATAAAAACACCTAAGGGGAATAAGAATTTATTCAGCACCTGCTATGTGTCAGGCACTGTGCTAAGCACTTCACAAATATTATTTCATTTGATTCTCATGACAACCCTGGGGTGTAGGTACTATTATTATTCTCATCGTATAGTTGTAGAAACTGAGATTAAGTGATTTGCCTAGGGTCACATAGCTAGGAAGTGTCTGAGACTGAATTTGAACTCAGATCTTCCTGACCTTGGCTTCTGACATAATCACAGCCACACAGCTAATAAGTGGCAGAGAAAGGATCTGAACCCAGGTCTTCTGATTCTAAGTCCAATACTATTTCCATTAGACCATGGGACCTCCCTATAAACACATCCTCATAGGCCACAAATTCACACTTATACAAACACTCACATGTTCCCTCAAATGTTGTGGTGTTCAGTTGTGTCTGACTCCGTGATAAAGATACTGCCTTGGCAAAGATACTACCATTTCCTTTCCCAGCCCATTTTACAGATGAGGAAACTGAGGCAAACAGGGTGAAGTGACTTGCCCAGGGTCACACAGTTAGTAAGTGTCTGAGGCCAGATTTGAAAGCAGGAAGATGAGTCTTCCTGACTTTAGCCCCGTCACTCTATCCACTGAGCCATCTAACTGCCCCATTGTCTCATCGAGTCCTAGGCTTTTCTATCTAGCCCCATCAAAATGACTAGCTCATCATACTCAGATACAGAAGCCACAATTCATCCCCTCTAAAAATTGTATTTGACTATCCCAGGCCATGGGAAACGAAGAGATGGTGACCTTATTAAATTACCTACAACGAAGACTACAAAGAGGCTGGATGAGGAGAGGAGAGTGAGTTGGTTCTGGGAACAGTGGATCCTATTCCAGAGACTGAGGAGGACGCTGTGGAAAGAGCATTGGGAGTAAATGATGGCTCTATTGTCTGGTCTTGGGCAAAGCATTTAACTCTTCTGACCTTTCCTTTCCTCATCCACAAAATGGAGGGATTCAGCTAGACGATGTCGAAGCTGACCTCTTTCCAACTCTCAATCCCATGATCCCTCAAGTGTACACTCTCACCTGCACACTGCTGTATAGGCCCATGCATAAATATTCATTTGCCCAGGGAGCATCACAGGCACCCACCTACAAACATGTAAACATATTTGCACATGCAATAGTAATAATAATCCCAAACATTTGTACAGAACTTTACGCTTTCCAAAGCACTCAATCATCTATTCATCTCCTTAAACACACCAGTGCACTTTTCGGGGAGGGAGTTGAAAAAGTGTATGGTCCCTTTATGGTCCCTCCCTGCCAAACATGCTTAATCAGCTCCCAGCTGAGAGGAGCCCCTGGGGAAGGCTGGAATGATTCTGATCTGGAACCCTAAATTCTAAGCATTTGGGCCACTGACTGGTACAAGAAATTTGAGTAGGGAAGGCCTAGCTGGGGGACAAATGAATTTGCAGGGTGGGAGGTAGTTTAGGAAGGTGGAACAGGTCAGAGCCTGCAAGGGAATTGTATGTTGATGGGCCTTACTAATTTACTGGGAGAATCTCAGAGCAAGGCAGGCCTGGATCAGGGAGCCCCATGGGATGGAATGGGATGTCATGGCCGAAGAATGTGTGGGAATAGACTTGGGGGGAGGGAGGGAAGAAAGAAGTAAAAGGGAGAGCTGGAGATGTGGGAGAGCCCTGGGATGGAAAGGAGGAGGAGTTTCTAGTGGAGGAACCAGGAAAATCACACCCATTAGGGAATTCCTTCCCAGCCAAAGTCTTGAAAAGCTAACATCTCCAGAACTAATGCCTTCCCTCCTCAGTCCGGAAGGAAGTTCTGGGGTCAGGGTTGGTTGTTTTCAACTTGGGATCAAAAGTTTTTGTTTTTATTTTCTGCTTGTAAACTAGCCTGGGGTAATCAGTATTTAGAGCAAAGTACTGGCTGAGCTGCAGGGAAAAGGGAAGGAGGGCTGAAGCTTTGGAGCCTGGGGGTCCTAGAAGCTGCAAACTGAGGCTTAGGCCTTCTTCTTGGTGTCTCCAGTCATCCCCTCACTAGGCACTGACTTCGTGCCAGCAGAGGTTTGAGTGTGCCTGAGGATGCACACTCAGGGTTATAACACAGGCATATACAAGTCCCAGTGATGCCAAAATGTGGGCATTTCTTTTGGACCACACACACACACACGATTTCATATACAAGCAAACATAAGTAACCATCCATCCGTGCATACCTATGTATGGATTCATTATTGACCACATCTTTAAATACATGGGAACATGCTTACATAAATATTTCATCTTGTCCAGGAAAACACCTGAGCTCACTCAAACACTTGATCATTTCAGTGTCTAAAACATATACTCCAATCTCAAAAACACACCCACCTGTGTACACACTCTCTTCCTACAATCCATCCTACAGACAGCTGCTAAAGTGATTTTTCCCAAAACCTGGGTCTGACTGTGTCTCTCCTCTATTCAGTTAACTCTGATGGCTTTTAGTACCAAACACAAACAAACTCCTGGCTTTTAAAGCCCTTCACAATTGGGCCCCAACTCACCTGGCCAGACTCCTTACACTTTGCTACCCGTCCAGCCTCTAGAGCTCAGCCAGATGAGCTTTCTTGCATTTCATCACACATAATACTCTAGTCTAGCTCTAAACCCACGAAGCCCATGATCTCTCCTCTCTGTACCTTTGCACCAACTATACTCCTGTGCCTGGAAAACACTTTATTCTTTACTTCTGTCTTTTTAGAATTCTTTATTTCCTTCTAAACTCAGTTCCAGTGTCATCTTCTACATGAACCATTTCCTTTCTTGATTTCCTTAGCTGCTACTGCCTTCTCCCCTTCCCCCCGAATTCCTCTTTTTAAAAAAAAAAAAATAACATGGCATAGATGATAAAGAGCCAATGTTGAAGCCAGGAGGACCTCAGTTCAAGACCTACCTCTGACACATACTGGTAGAGTGACCCTGGGCAGGTCACAACCTCTCAATGTTTCAGGCAACTGTTTAAAATGATAATTTGCAGAGAAGATGCCAACCTGTGTTATAAAGGAAGTTTTCCCCACCCAGCAGTTCCCCTTACCAGGGAAATTACAGGTCTAATTGTTGTTGTTCAGTTGTGTCTGCCTCTTAGTGACCCTGTATGAGGTTTTCTTGGCAAAGATACTGGAGTGGTTTGCCATTTCCTTCTCCAGTAACTTAGTCCAAGAGAGGTTAAGTGACTTGCCTAGTGTCACACAGCTGTGAGTGTCAGGGGTCAAATTTGAACTCAGATCTTCATGACTCCAGGCCCCAAGCTCTATCCACTGAGCCATCCAGCTACCTATCCCTTATGCTAATATATCTATAAATTGTCACCCCCTGATAGAATGTAAGATTCTTGAGAAGAGGGACTGCTCCCTTGTCTTTGCACTTCCAGCACCTAGCAGTGGGTCTGGCACTTAAGAGGAGTTTAATAAATGCTTGTTGATTAATTGACTGATTGATTGGGGTAAGGCAGTGGAGTGGAACCGCCCCAGCAAATTCTGGTTCATCCAA